TTTACGGAGACTTGCCACGGTCTCCAACCCTCCTCCTTTCTCATCCGGGCTTGGGACCGGCCATGGCGGTTTAGTCGAAGCATTAAAAGGTTTAAAACTTTGAAAACACATCAAAGAATACATGTTACGGTCATCCTTACGTATGCTAATAATAAGCCTGCTTATCTAAGCGAATAATAATCTTTTTCCAATTTAAAAAACAAAATAGCTTAAGTTATCGTAATGTGCGTATAAGTAAAATTGACACTGTAATATTGTACTTGAGTTTCAGGCGAACTGTTAAGCAAAAATACGACCGTTATCACGTTATATCCTAACGTTTGTTTCGCTATTTTGTAGCAATTTTTTTGTGCTTGTTTTAACAAGAGTCTTCTGTATCGGTTTTCGAATAAGTTATTCGAAATATGGTAACACTTCTGTTGCTAGAAAGTTCTTCTGACATTATGCTTTAAATTTTCTACCGAGAGAAACGGTGTCCTGCGAGGCTTTGGAAGTGTGTATGCATGATATAAGGAGAAGACGGGTTTTGAAGACTTTTTCCACAGGCTAATTATTCCGAAGTTTCCCCTGCGTAATTCCGGTCCTTGTTCCTGCACTAACGCAATTTTTCGGCTTAATGACTCCTCGATCCTCACGTCACCTTGACTTTATCTGTGCGTTTACTGAGTTAAAATATTTTCATTGCCTCTGAGATGCTGCTTTAACGGTTGCTTTTTTCTTTATTGTCGGCTCTACTGAAAATGAATCAGTCCAGGTGTGATCACTTCTGGGTCGAGCCGTTCGTCACACGCGAGGCACCACCTGATTTGTGATAGTGTGGAAGGACCTGTTTCCGAGTTTCATCGTTACCTCGTTCCTAACATCATTTTATTTTGCTCGGTATTCAAGCACACATGTGTGTGACCACTAGTTATTTTACCTTGAGAGTTGCGTCGAGAAACAGTTCGAGGTTTATCTGTGGTTGGTATCGTTTGTATTTTTAGGCTAACAACGATAACTGAACTTTGTCGCATTATCGGAATCGTCCTTCACTAGATACTTGATGAACAACCACTGTGAAGGGCAGTCTTTTTTTAACAAATCTGCATCATCCCTCGATGCTGTAGTGTTCTCATTTCATATTATATTAGTTGCACATAACAGGTAATGGTCGGACGTCACAAAGCTGAGTTGTTCTGCTGTTTAAGCTCTGTAAACTTCGATGACGATAGCAAAGCAACAGTAACAACATCGCTTACATGCATATACGAACAAAGCCTAGTTCTCTGCAGCTCGCCCTTTTGTATTTTCTCTATCATTCTTCTAAACAGCGATTTCGACATATACTAGAGTTTTATGACAAACTGTCATCAATAAACTCAAATATTGTGAGCAGCAGTTCGGTTTTGTTTAGTGTCGAACTGCCTGTCCAGGTTTGTCGATTGTCACTCTTTTGTTCTGCCCCATCTTATATGCGGACAGCGAGGTAATTGTTGAAGTGGACTACGACGTTTTTATCAATCCTCAGCTCATCCTCGCTGAATCTGATGCGCCTCATTTTTGAAAGACCATCATTTGATGAAGTAGAAGATATCATTGAGTAACAGTGCTGACTGCTTTTCTTCTTTCTCCCTTTTCCTGCTAGAGGACGACTTGGGTGAGTCCAGAACCGCCGGGATATTCACCGACAGAAGGCGCATAAGCTAAAGCTTGCTTAAGTTCACACTTAGATGGCACTCGACGAAGCCTGTAGTAGAAGTAGCACAACTTTTACATACTCATGATCACCGTTTTGACTTGCTTAGACAAAGGTGGAACATGGTGACGGTAAAACAGAACGGCGTGTGGTTGTCGAAAATTTTGGATTGGTATCTTCTGTCGCTATGGCTCGAGAAATAGGATGTACCAAAACGTAGCTATGAAATAGTCCGGAGAATACCACTACAGTAGGATAGATTTGATAGAATTTGGTTGGAAGCCGTGAGAGGTTGATGAGAAACCTCTGTAACCATGGGCAGATCATTCTTCTTTTCGCGTTCGTGATTGACCATCCTTCCTTTATAAAACTTTCAGTGTGGTGCTAATCTTCGTTTCTGTGTCATCAGCGAGGAGTGCCTGGTTCTTGTTATTAGGATATATCTGCAGTTTGGCGATCTTTATAGCCTGTTGTATCTTTCAACATTTTTACGAAGTGATGCTCATTGATCTATCTTAAAAGCTTAAAAGACGAGTGATCCGACTAAGGCTTGAATTCAGGATTTCTCGACTCTAAGTCCAACATTCCGCCAGTTTAGAAACCAAAATTAACCTATCCTTGGGTATTATTGTGATATGAGTTACCACCACAAATCGAAGGTGTCACCCCGAAGACAACGCCAATGTAATCAACATACATGATTACAGAGAAGAGGGGCTCTCACACTCAAATGTTGCGTGTATGGAAGGTCAGGATGGCGGGTGACTCTGGCCATGGTTACTACACAAGAAACGTTAAGAACATATTTCCGTTCTTATTTACAGGCCGCATCAAAGCATGCAACGCAGCTGTCTCAGAGTTGTTGCGATAGTTTTCTCACACTGCTGATCCTCAACATTTGCGCATTCGTTCCTCGATCGTATTGTCACCCTCAGAAAATGCGTAGTGGACAACGTTGTTGGAATCTGTCGAAGCGAGCCGATAGAATAGGCGTTTTTTTGCGCTTTGTATGATGTACGTTGAACATCGAGGAATTCTTATGTTCGTGGTCACGATCACGTAAACTTCCGTCTCTTCTGTCTACTGATTGTATACGTATGTTTAGAATTGCAACACAACCATGTCGGATAGTTCATCGTTGGACCTCAGCAACATCTCGTCTAGCCAGCGCGAAGATTTGATGAACAAAGTCAAAGTCGAGCTCGCGGTTGCCAACATACGCGAACTCTTACAGGTGATTTCTGTTTCTGATCATTGATTCCATAGTAGAAAATTCAGCAGAAGTGGTTTTTTGTAAACACATAGCAAAATATTGGTTTGGAAGCGGATTTGTTTCCTGATTGCTTGGTTGCCAGCACGAAACGCGAGAAACAAATTCTTTATTTAATGCGGATCCGGCGTTTCGATCGAATTGGCATTGGTCGTCAGTAGGCTATAGGTGATGAGTTTAACATATGATCCATATTTTTACTGTGCAGATTCGAGCGACACGTCAGATCTGCATTAATTAAATAAGTTTTTATTTTTCGTGTTTCATGCTGGTAGCCACGGAATCAGAAAATCTGTCTACTTTCATTCATTCTGCTCGCCGCAGGGAGTATGCCCTTTGGTTTTTTGTCGAAGCAGTTAATGTTTTAAGAATTTCGAGAAATCACTCATGCGTATCAGATGTCAGTAATCTACATGAATCTGAGGGATTCCACGAAGCTTGTTCCCACTACAACAACCACTCATCAGCGGCAAAATATTGATATGAGTTTAAGAAATATTGGTATATCAGGAAGATTATGCGGCACCGACCTTTTGTCCTGGCTTGTTCTTTGTAAAATTTGTGGTTATTGATCGCAGTTTGGGTTGTTCCAGCCGAATGCTACTTTCGTTAACGGCGACATCCACTAACAGAAACAGGCTCAGGTAGCTTGTTCTTCACTTCCTTCTCTTTGTCATTATCTTTTTGTTTCGTTCTTTCTCTCTATCGTTCTTTTCCTTATCACCCTTTAACTTTTGCTACTTATCCTTCCCATTTCTTTCTTCTTAATTTCTTGTTCTGCTCCGTGTCCTCTTCTTTTTATTCTTCTGATTGCTCCTCTTTTCTCTTTTTTTCCTTCTTCGATTTTGCCTTCTCTCATTTTCGTTTCCTTCGCATTCTCACTCTTTCTTCCTCTTCTTATTTTCTCGTTTTTACTTTACTCCTTGTCCTCGTTCTTTTCCGCGGTCTTTTTGTTTCTCATCCTTCCCCTTCTCCTTCTCACTTTTGTCTGCTGTCCGTGGTCTTCTTTTCATTTTATTGTTTGGAACAGTACCATGTTTGTTAACAGGGATGTTTTAAGAATCCGTAGTATTTGTATTTCAGCAAGACCAAAACATGCATTTGTCTGCCGGGAGTATGTCCGCAGTCTCGTTGTGTAGCTGTCGTCACGAAACTCGGCATAAATCCATATGAACAGTTTCGCTCTCACATAATTGTAAACGACAGACAAGTCTTGATGGTGGCTAATAACATGTGACGTGCATCTGTACTCTGCATGTACTGAAATACCATTATTTCGTGGTCTTCGTAAATGGTTCGCCCTAGGTACGGGGAACCAAGAGCGTCTATGCAGTAATGCCATAGAACTTGGTTTTATGACTTTCTGTACTTATTAACAGAAATGAACTTTTAGATGAACTGAATCATTCACACTGAGTCTTTGTCTCTTTAAGACGGTATAGAGGGGCTGTAACGATGCTACTAATCGTGCAGATGAAACGCAGTAGTAGCGTCGAAGTTTACGATCTCCTCTGAGCCGACCAACCGCCGGCTTCTAAGTCGTTATTATTAGCTGATCCATCTGCCGTTAGCCGCAGTGTCTTGACCAACGTCGCTGAGATACTAAGGTTGAAACACCACCGGCAAAAGACTAATGCGAACGTAGGCAGAGGAAGTATTTTTTCTCTTTCTTTTCTTCGCCATTCAGGGTACTTAGTTTTGCGTCATTTCCCAACGGCAGTGACGTAATGATACTAACAGTATTAAGGATCACGTGATTGTGTCATTTCCCTCCCAGTTGAAACGTGGTGGCAAAGAGGTTGGTTTCGAACCCCGGAATTGCCGGTTCGAATCTGGGGGAATTGAAGATCTTTTTCTTAAACGCAGATTCTCCTGAGCAAGTAATCTACTCTACGTTTGTTTCGGTGTAGCTGGGAGCAAAAAAACAGGTAACAAGCCGTTGACTTGCGAACGATAGGGGCAGCGTAAACATAACAAAATGAAGGGTGATACAGCGATGGCGCCTGATATGAGTGCCTCATAGGGCTGCAGTTCGCACTGACCTACCGGATAGCTGTTTGTTCAGTATGATGCTCATCTGTGGGTGGAACTGCTGACTAATTAGTGTTTTTAATAACTGTTTATGTAAGTCGCATAATTTTCCTCAAGTACGGTATTTGACTTCTAGCCCATTACGTCTATGATTGCTCGAAGACGATGTTCGCACTACAACTGCATAATTCTATTTGTATTTTGAACGCATGGTTTCATAACTTCATCCGTGAGCGTTAATAGTCGGTAGTTGGTTGTGTACACAACAAGATCCATTGCGCGGCTGGTCATTGTTGGTACCCTTGTGCAAGCTTTGTCTCTTTGGGACTGCTGGGAACTGGAATTTGTTTATTTGCTTTGTGTGCCTAGTTTCTCTTGTACAGCAGAACTGGCCACTTCCTCCTTTTAGACTGACAAGATATACGGCATTTTCAGAACCATATAAATATATAGGCACATCATTTCACTTTTCAGTGACATTAGAGTCAAAAAACTGTTTTTCTGTTATTAGTTTTGCAAATGTTTTTTATGCTGTCTTTTGTATGACAGTTTAATTTGTTTTAGCAATTGTCAAACAAGTGTATCAAGGTGTGCATCAAAAAGCCGGGGAAGTCGCTGGACAGTTCAGAGCAAGTAATTAACTAAGTTTGTGCCTTCGATTGTTTCAAATCGATGAATTTCAGAAATGCCTAGCTCACTGTGTCGACCGCTACGTCGATTCATGGAATCTGGTTGCCAGTGCATATCGCGACCGGCTGGAACATTCGTGACAACGATTATGGCTCTAGAGCAATGCAATAGTTTACTGGTGTTATAAAGCTTGTTTTATGGTTATTAAAACACTGAAACAACATCTCTCTGTTGTGATTGTGCCTTCTTCACATTGTACAGCTGACGTTTGATTCGGTTATTGTAGTTGATGTTCAGATTCCAAGTGCTGCGTGGCATTTCAGTGACACATTAGACTCGTTTTGAATGCGGTGGTAGTTATTAGCACCAATTCGTAAAAGTCGCTTGAGTATCGTAGTTACGGCAACATATGAGATGCAGCTAATGGAGGTAAGCTGTGAAAGCGCGAAATGATGGAACTCAATTGTTTTAGATTATTTTACTTTATACGGACATGTTCAAATGTCACTGGTTGCGCAGTCAGTTTTGAAGTTGTGACAAAGTGGTCGAAAAGTTGTTTCAGGCATTTCTGGGCTGAACGCAGTTTGAATCGTACCTTAGTGATACGTATCCGATGGTAAGTTTAGATTTTTCAAGACGTCTTGACGTATACTGGCGAAGTTAAACTTTAGATGTGCTCCTTGGTCTTATTACCCTGAACTTTCGAATCTCAGATCTTGCCGTGTTGCAGATCTAGAACGGACAAGTTCGACGTTCCCAGCGAGATACCTGACGAACCTGCGGAACAATGCTGATGACACTGTCATTATATTTGACTCTGATGACCGAAACGGTGTGCTCAGCTGCAAGAAAGTGTGCCTCCAGCTGAATCCTACGAGGACAAAGGTGATGAGTTCGTCATGTGGCACAGTGAAACTTATGGTTCCGCCGTTTTCGCACGCGTAGCGCCATAAAACACGTCCACTGGTTCAAATACCTCGGTGCTCTCACCTCCAGTGGTGACGTTAACTGCGATCGAGATCAAAACAAGCAAATTACGCTGGCTCCTTTAGTTTCAGAGGGCGGTCGAAATTTTGAACTGAAAGAGGTATGCATTCCCCGTCAAGGTCCAAACTGGACCGCAGTGCTGTATGGACCGTAAACAGCTATTCATAACCAAGACACGAACGCCGACTAAGCAGTCTTCAATACCGCTGGTTGCGACGCATGCTGAAGATCAGTTGGTACGATCGTGTCAAGTGTTGGCATTAGCGCACATGAAGGCATCTCAAAAACGTTCAGAGACAGAAGACTGGCAAGGTTCGATCGTTTGCCAGCAAGCAACCGAGTCTCACTGGAGGGGGCAAACATGGATGACTGAAGAACGGCAGCGAGTACCTCAGATGGCAGAGGAAACTAAACAGAAATCTGGTGCTAACGCAGAATCTGCTCTTTGTTGAAACAATGAACAGCTGATGTCAGAACGTGAACTGCTGAGATGATTGAGTTGAGCGGAGGTGATCAGTCTTAAACTGCCTGAAGCTACTTAATCGCAAAGTAGCTGGACATGGTGACACCGGATAAGCAGCACAAGGCGACAACGTGTATTTAGCCATGATTTACTCACGAATCACCGTAGTCGACGTGCGAATAATACAAAATACAGATGTTCAAGAAACTGTACAACGCTGCTGCGATTGTTTGATGACCGGCGTGGCCGGCACGCTGCCGCCGACCTGCCTTCGCCTGAGTGCCTCCTGGTTCTGACTGGCGGTGGTGGCCGGCATCGACTGTCGTCGTTTCTTCAGGCGACTGCAGGACACGACCAGCGGCGAGAACTCGCGCAGCACGGTCATGAACACGTTCTCGACACTGTTATAGTCCTTGGCCGTGCACTGCGTGTAGCGGCACATGTGTGCATCGGCGAACTGGCGCGCTTCCGAGATGAGGTTCTCATGTTCGTCACAGTTTTCGTCGGTGGTCAGATCGGTTTTGTTGGTGACAATGACAATCGGTGCGCTCTTGCTGCTCTGGCTTCCGATGTCCTGTCTGAAAAGCATCATCGTATAGCGTACGCGTCTCTGAACACAGCCTCGGAGCAAGCGCGTCAGTCGCGCTGCCGCCACCTCAAATAGCGTACCTTCGTCTCGTTGACGCTGATCACCCGCGCTTACCTAACTATGAGTGAGACTGACAACCACGTAGGGAATCTCACCACGCGACCGATGGTCGGTTACGACACAAGTATTATTTTGTGTTCTGCAAAGCCGTAGCACTACCAACGGAGTATGGAGTGTTTCAGCAAAAATAAAACAGAACAACGGAACGTCTAGTGGGAGAAGTACCACGCAGCAGATTCATTGCTACCTCTTGCTCTGACCTTCGCATTTAAGCTACGCGTTGAAAAAGCTCTGCGGATGATCAAGGAGAGGATAAATCTGCCAAGAAAACTTGGACTTGAAGTTCAGGTACTCCCCAAGTGCTGCTTACTACGACCCTGACACTCATGTACTCTGTTGGAAGTACTGATAATCTGCTTCGAGCTGCAGCTGCCATACGAGGTAAGTAGACACCCAGCTGAATGAGGCAGTGCGAATCGCAACAGAAAGCCTGAAGCTGACCCAAACGCAGTGGTTACCAACACGTACTGAGCCCCTAGCAGGCGCCTCGCGTTTTCCCGACCATTGATACAAATCGCTAGCAACCCATGCACCGTGTCCTCCAACAGCGTTCGACACGACTCCTGAAGGAACCGTGGTAGACGGAGTGGGAACCTGCAGCCGCCCATTACAATAGTCACATCTTTAACCCAGCAACAGGTTCCCTGCGAACATTGAGGTTTTCTATAGAATTGCGGGTTGGCACCCGTTGAAGGCAACGTACGGCATGTAATTCCACGCAATACGTAATAAGTTGTACGAAAACGGCCACCGTGGCGCAGGACATTTCTGTTTGCTTACTGTTGCACAAGCCAATGTAGATCTGCAGCTACTAGGTGCATGCTTATCACTGCATACGAAGGTAATAAATTCTGCACGCGTTTATTCCATGGATTGAAATCGTAAAATGGTAAAAAATGCGATAAGATGAAATATGAATTGCGTAATAAAAATGGCGTCTGAAGAAACGATGTCCTGGACAGAAGCTGCTGAAATGGGTTAGGCTCACGCTCTCCACAGAGTATGCAGTTCAGATGTCCGAAGGGGCCTGGGCGTACAACCGCTTCTTCTACCGATTGGGAACTGACGGCTGCGATTATTCGGATACGTTTCACGAATGCTTCAAGAAAGAAAGACGAAACAGTCACTAGTTGCTGACCGACCGGCCGGTGAAAGACCCCAAGGAAAGCCGAGACTGACCTGGAACAAATGCATCGACGGACTTACTCCAAACTCGGGCTGTCTTCTGCCGAAGCTCACACGCAGGCGTAGGATCGCGAGTGTTGTAGACATTGTCTGACACTGCTGCCTCCGCAATTCAAAAGGATAAGCGGCCATCGGAACTGACTGACTGACTGACTGAGAGGGTTCCATAAACGCTCTTCGTATGCCTCTGAAGTACGGTCAACTCTATGACCCCTATGTATAAAGAAACACTTTGTGGACAAATACAGTCAAACATAAAAATTTACGTAATTGCTCTTTAAAGGCAATGAGGGACTAAATGACTCGATGGCGAAAGCTTTGAAAACAGTAACAATGGATCTAGGCTCAATAATCGTACTGCCACACAAAGAAGGACAGGAAGCAAGCGTAACTGTCTGAAGCTTCATGAAGCAAGATTGCCAAAAAGAAGCAAAGCTCAAGGACAAACTAAGCCCAATCAACGCTGAAACTGCTTTTTCGCAAAAATGATAGCAACCGAGCAAATGCGACCACATAGCGAAAACAATTATCATAAAACGATCAGAAAAGCAGGACAAGCTTAAGAAATTTAGATGTATGTACAAAAGCTATCGATATGCGTTAATATTTTGCTCTTTTCGATAATAATTGAATCGTTTCCAGCGCGTAAAGTTTTCTCGCCAACACATTTAACGTCAACACCGAAGCACCGCG